CACTATATAAGTATCGTTCCTGGATTGCATTTGCAAGCTTTTATTGTTCTTGCTACAATAATGGAACAAAATTCACTCCATACCAACGCCGAAATTTCAAGAAAAGAAATCAGTTAAATGTTTTTAAAGTAAGAAAAAAAATAATGTAGACAATTTAAAATCAGAAAATGAGTTTTTAATCATTTCTAAGCGAATGGTTCCATTTGGGCAGGAATCTGCAGGATCACAGGTTCTGGTTCTGTTGGAGGAGAACCTTCTCCAGACTTTTCCCTCCCTCAGTCTGATCCCGACCCGTTTTCTGTCCAGAGGCGGTTCTGACCGGGACTCCATAAAACTAGTTTAGTGGAGGGGTCAAAGGTCAGCCAGAATCCTCCTCTGTGGTCCAGGAGCAGCCTGCTAACAGCTGATTGTATCTGAGTTCACCTGACGTAGATCTGATCAGAGCTTTTCTTTGTCTGCAGGCCCAGCGGCACATCACCGACCTTTACGAAGACCTCAGAGATGGACACAACCTCATCTCGCTGCTGGAGGTCCTCTCAGGAGAGACTCTGGTGAGCGTCCCGTGTCCCTCCGTCCCGTTCGCGCTCCTCCTGCCCTTCCTGTGGATTTTATTGTTAGACGTGTCATCTGTCTCCACGTCTGCATGCGTCTTAGATGTTTCCAGACGCTGAGGCCGTGCAAACTTTAAAACACTAATTTCATTCCTGGCGTCCATCTTTTAACCGTTCTGCATTTCTCTGTCTTTGTTTGAGTTTTTCCTTTTTTCTAACTCCTGTCTGCCTACCCTGACCTCTCCCCTCTGCCTTCCTGTCTCGCGCTGCTCGCGCCGTAGCTGAGGGAGCGTGACGTTGTGAGGAGCGTGCGGTTGGTGAGTGGCGCCTGGACTGCGGGCCAGTGGGGGGGGCGTGGCATGTGTCATTCCCCAGGTGGCTGCTGGGTCGTGCATGTTGGCAGTCAGCCTTCCCCGGTCATTCTCTGTCTTTGTGTTTTCACCGTCACCTTTCATGGGTTACTCAGCGCGATGATGGCGGCATCAGAAGGCATGGCGGCCTCAGGAGGCATGGCGGCCTCAGGAGGCATGGCGGCCTCAGAAGGCATGGCGGCCTCAGGAGGCATGGCGGCATCAGGAGGCATGGCGGAGCTTCAGAGGTCCCTAAAGAGCAGAATAAGGAAGATATGAGAATGTCTGAAACCAATTAATTGCTTCAGTGTCACTGATGCTGCTGTGATGCTCAGATTAAACCTTTAGCAGATAAATTCAATATATAAGATCAGATATGGAGGATATTTAGTAAAATAACGCTTAAAAAACGGCTTAAAATACACAGAAATCTACAGATTAACAAGATTATCTGTTATAATTGGAAATAATTACAAACTGTTTTAAAATATAAGTGTTTTGTAGAGTTTTCCAGTTTAATTTAATATACTTTATTAAAAAAAAATAATAATGTTGGAAAAAATAAATAAAAGGTGGAATTTATTTCAGTAGAAAAGGGAAACTACCATTTTTTTCAATTCAGTTTATTTCTATAGCTCCAATTCACATCAAGCATGCTTGTAGCGACAGTGGAGAGGAAAAACTCCCTTTGAACAGGAAGAATCCTCCAGCAGAACCAGGCTCAGTGTGAGCGGCCATCTGCTGAGGCCCACTGGGGTTCAAGGAGACAGAAGCAGACATAGAAAAAGAAGCATAAATAGGCGGCCCCGTCCAGGAAACACACAGCCAGGCAGACGAGCTCCGAGCCAGCTCCCATGTCAGAGGATGAAGAGAGCACATCCAGTTAGTCACAGTCAGAGAAACAGGACTACACTGGAAAACAGGCCAAGCTCCAACATCTAGAAACAAAGGTGTTGATGGCAGCAGCACAGCTGATATTTCTCTCCAGGATGGAGTCACAGCCAAACAGGAACAGACCAGATGAAGCTACTATGAGAAAAAGCAGAGAGAGCAGAACGTTAGAGATTGAACTAACAGATTCTGCAGAGTGGGAGAATAGAGATAGAATGAAGCAGAATGATGAAAAAGGGGTCCCTATGTCCTCCAGCAGTCTAAGCCTATAGCAGCAGAACTATAGAGATAGCTCAGGATAACCTGAGCCACTCTAACTAGAAGCTTTATCAAAAAGGAAAGTTTACTATTAGAAATTCAAGAAACCACATTTTTTCCTAATGAATCAAGAATTTATCACCTACGCTTATGATGCATTTCTTTATTTCACCAAATCAGAAAATGATCGCCTTATATAAGTTTCACAGTAAAATTAAATCATAACTGAATAATTCAACTTTTTGCGTTATGATGCCAACATTAATCTTATTCAGTTCTGCAGCATAGAAATGTAAAACTAGAGACTTTTTTCTGGTTTAAAGTCCAGATTTAGATTCTTTGGGAATCTGCTTCTGTTGATGCTGCTTTTTTCTGCTGAAATAGGGAAAGTTTTTATTCACCGTCTGACTAAATAAATCAGAATAAAATGCTTGTTTCACGGTGATCTGGAGAAAGACTGAGAATCTCCGTCCTCCATCATCGCGCTCTCATCTGCAGACATCTTGATGCATCTCTGGGTCACGCCATCATGCACAGCCGGGCTCTGAACCGGCGCCGGCTTTGGTCGCAGTCATACGCAGTTACACTTCCTTTCACTTGTGATGTTCCGCACCGACCGTTCCGACTCGCCGTAGGGTAGACGTTAACGTCGATGGAAGCACCTGTTCCCCGGCATGTCCCGCCTGTCCTCATGTCCTCTGTTGTCTCTTCCAGCCGCGGGAAAAGGGACGAATGCGTTTCCACAAACTGCAGAATGTGCAGATCGCTCTGGACTTCCTCAAACACAGACAGGTCTGTAGTCTAAAGAACAATCTTCAGTAACGGTGAACTTCTGTCCGACTGAGTGATGCTTTCTGCTCCTTTTCAGGTTAAACTGGTCAACATCAGAAACGATGACATAGCGGATGGGAACCCTAAGCTGACCCTGGGCCTGATCTGGACCATCATCCTTCATTTCCAGGTAATCTGATGAGGAGGCTCCTAATCTGCAGGATCGTTCTGCAGACGCAGGAAGGGAAAGTTATTATTTATGCTTCAGACTCGTTTCTTTTTACTCAAACTGAAACGTGTTCATTCTTCTCTGCAAATGAAGCTTTTCAGTCAACAGTCAGAAACTTTTTCCTCCTATTTGTCCCTCAGTCACTCCAGCAGAATCAGGCAGCAAGTTTGATCCATTTCCAGATGTTCAGTTTCTACAAACATTTGTCTTTGTTTTATGTCATGTTTTGAGTTTATTAAAGCAACGTCATGTTTTATTGCCAGTGGCGCCAGCAGTAAGACATTGGCTTCCAACCTTATGCTACGTTCAGAACGCACGCGGCAGGAGCAGCAAAACGCGCGTGCTGCTTCATTTTTTATGCTTTTATAGTTTAGTTCTGACGCGCGGCTGAAGCATCTTTGCTGCGCTGTCACTGGGAATCCCCAGCAGCAGCTGCCTCAGGCCCGCTCGCCTCTCCAGGGT